TTAGTATGCCTACCTTAAACCTCTCCGCATCTTTGCCGAACTTTTTGAAGTCAAACTTGGCCCCCGCTCCCAGCTTACGGAACAAGTCGTATGCATCCATTTTCACTCAGACAGCATGGTCAGCTCCAGCAGGCATTACCAATCGAGATACCGCATCTTGTAGGGGGTACATCTGGGTGTGATTAGTAAGCCTCTTAAAGACGTACACTGAAACGAACAAAATGTCTAAACCAGTGATCATTTTCATGTTTAAAAACCCACCCATGTCACCCATCCCCATCAATTCCCAGTGAAATATGTGTTTTAATTAATCTGCATAAGGAAATATGGTGGTCATCATGATGATGATTATGATATATAATTATTTTATTTAAATAAATGTCGTCTTCCACGATCGTTTATAGGATTCATATACAATCTAGCGCCCGCGTAAGTATCTGTATTAGTATTAATTATGCCACATATTATTAATTAATTTATTATTTTAAATTTGATATCAAATTGTCGTCGTGCTGTAGTAACAGTTACGCACAACAGAGGGCGTCAAGAGGCTACTTTAGAAACGACACTTGTTGACCGAAATCGGGATTCTCTTGAAGCTCCGAAAAAGAACAACCTATGAAAGTACCTGGCGTTGTTGGTGATGTAGTCAAAGAGAATTAAATTCGCGTTAAATGTCTCTCCCTGCTGCATAAACATGCTCTTCGTTTGTACAAAGAGCGAAAGCTGTTGTCACTCCGCAGGCTGCACGGCTGGGACAGGTGTGATTTCTCGGTCATGTAAGAAACCGAAATACAGAGAAAAGGAGATATCTTGCGAGACGGTATAGCAAGTCGGTGCTTGTGTGAGTTTACCCTGACTGTGACCTCGAGTTGTATTGACACAGTGCTGGGATTATAGGAATTGTTTCATTTGTTTGTCCTGTTGTGTCAGCCCGCGACACGGTGACAGATCCCAAGAATGTATTCGCTGCGGCGCGTGGAAGTACAGAAATACGGAACCGTGGGGATCCTGGCCGACTTTTCCAAGTTGTGTAGAGTAGAGGGAATGCACCGGAACAAGTAAAAGGTGTATTCCACGCTGAAAAGAGCCTACTTCAGGTATGAAGGTCTGACACCTGAAGAAGGCTCCACAGCCGAAACGTTGCGTTTCTTTTCTTCTCTTTTCAACATGGAATAAACCTTCACTTGCTCCTTTGCAGTCTACGTGTGCTGACGGAGCCGAAGGGAATACTGCATTGGTTCATAATTTGCCATTATTGAAAGTCAGAGCAGAGTGATGAAGCCAGTTCAGAGATGGGGATTATTAGGAGGCCATAACTGGTAAAGAGCAGGGGGGGGGATTTGAGCAGGACACCGGGGTTACACCCCTACTCTTTTTGAGAAACACCCTGTGATTTTTAATGACCACAGAGAGTCAGGACCTCGGTTTTATGTCTCATCCAAAGGATGGCAACTTTATACAGTACAGTGTCCCTGTCACTATACTGGGGCATCAGGACCCACACAGACTGTGGGGTGAGAGCGCCCCCTGCTGGCCCCTCTAATATCTCTTCCAGCATCAACCGTAGTTTTTCCCGAGAGGTCCTCCATCCAGGTACTGACCAGGCTCACCTGCTGAGCTCCCGTGAGTTGTCAATTGTGAGCTGCAGGGTGATGTGGCTGTTAAATTGTTTTAAATAAAATGTGTCTATTATTCTTATCATCATCATCGCCAGTGTTTTGGGGACCTACATGATTAATTATGCACCACCTGTATCAAAGTACTGGAGTACTGGTGCATATGCTCAAGTCAGCCAGTAATGAAGACAAAGCTGGAACCAGAAA